GGGTTGCCATACAGCAGACTCTACAGTTTGAATCCCAGGCCCAGCAGCTGGAAGAATCACGCTGGGTGTGTGTGCGTGTATCTCCGAAATCCTGAGGGGTGTATGGAGGAGAAGGGACTGTGGCCTGGCCGTCCTCCCCAGAGGTGATTTTTCACTCTCCCTCTATGGCAAAAACCTAAAAAAAAAAAAAAAAAAGTTAAGGGGCCCAGCTCCATGGCCTGGTGGTTAAGGTGGCTGGATCCCACATGACCCACCCATGGTTCAAGTCCTGGACTTGGCGGCTGGAGAGACAGTCCAGGAACATGTGTGTGCATACCCAAAACCCTGAAAGGAAGGGTGATGAAGGAGGAGCTGTGGCGTGACTGTTCCCCACAGGAGGTACATCCTCCTCTCCCTCTCCCCTTCTCTTTCACCTGTGCCTTCTAGCAAAAAAGAAAAAGAAAAGGCGGAGGAGCTGTTGTTGCAGCTCTACTCCAGGAGACAAAGAAGCAGCAGTTGTAAATTGGGCGTGTGATCCTGAGTGGAATCTGGGACAGAAAAAGGAAGGTGGAAACACTGGGAGTGCGCCAGTAGGCCCTTAGTTTAGCTAATATGCTAACGGGGACTTAGTTAAGTACTTCCCGTGTGCTTACACGTAAATACTTACGGTCTAGTTGAATTAATACATTTAGTATTCACGGAACGCTTTTTGGCTGAGTTTAGTGACTGGGTGAAGTCCGTTTGCGGGCGCCGACCATGCCGAGGCCGTGGAAGACGTGGACGGGGAGCTGGGCGAGGACCAGCGGAAACTACCTACCCTATGGGAACCCCTGGCATTGCGTTGGACAGTCCGGGACTGCGTTCAGATGGGGAGATGGCCGCGGAGGGGTGGGGCCGGGGAACCGCCTGTCACCGGCCAGCTGTCAGTGATGCAGGCAGGGCTGGAGAGAAGGGGGCTGGCTACGCTGGCGGGCTGCAGGGAGACGGTCAGCGTGTTCTCGGTGTTAGCAGAGGAGATGAGCAGGTGCAGATCCTCCCCGGCGGCCCATCAGCGTGGAGCACTGTCCCCAGGGGGAGCACCCCGATTCCTGTCTTATGCAAACACCCACCCTGGTTTCTGCTCTGACCATTCCTCAGACAGGCCCCCCACGACTCAGCAGGTCAGGTGGTTCTCCTTAGAGGCCTTTCCTAGCCTCAGAATGACTTCAGTCCTGCTAAACCTCGAGCTGGCCCGCTTCGCGGTGCCCCTGCTGCCTCTCGGCCCTGCGTCTCCGGGAAGACTGTGCTGCCAGCCTCCTTTCCCCCTCTGCAGCCTCCACCTCCTGCTGCCATGGCAACATCTGCGCTTCCCCAGGTCCCAGCTCTGCCCCAGGGGTTCCACTCAGTGCACCCCTCCTAGAAGAGTGCGCCTGCCCTGCCCGGCCCCCGTGACGTCTGCAGGTCCCCCTCGCTGTCGTGTGCCTGTCCTGCTTCCTGCTTTCCCTGCGACCAGGGGGTGTGCCGAGGCGGTGCCCTGCTTCTTACTCACGGGGCTCCTCGCTGCTCCACGGAAACTATGACCGCAGAGGAAACAGGAAGTGGCCTGGATGAGTCCAGCAGGGTTGGGTACCATGGGCGCCTCAGCCCAATCCCCCAGCCATGTCCCTGAAGTCCCCCGCAGCTGGCCCCACGCCCTGGCTAAAGCACTCTGGCATTGGGCTGTAAACAGGTGAGGTCAGGGTTGTCAGGACCCCAGCGGGCCACCCCCCCCCGCACCCACGCTGCTTTTTTTCGAACCCGTCTGCTTGCACGACTGGTCTGGGTCCGCGGGGTTTCCCTGGGCATTTTTAAAACTTTTACTAGTGGGGGCCAGCACATGGCCAACCACAACTCGAGTCCCAGACCTGACAGCTTGCTTTCTCTATATATATTACTGAGTTTATGTGCCCTATAGCAAATTAGAAATAATAATAATAACAATAAATAAAGTCATTTTTTGGAGAGGTTTTTGCTATAGGGTATGTACACGCACCAGAAAGACAGAGACAGAGAGACAGAAAGATAGAAAGTAAGAAATCCCCCCCCAGGGGGGATGGCCATGCCACAATCCCTTCTCCTCCGTTCTCCTCTCGGGATCTTGGGCACGCACGCACACGCGCCTGGTGGGAGTTTAAGCCACCGGGTCCGGGACTTGAACCTCAGCAGACTACATGGGAGTCCAGCAACATAGCCATTATGCTAGCTGCTGGTCCCAATAAATATATTTTTAAGAGAGACTTTTGCTATACGGAGTGTGCACTCGCCAAAGAAACAGAGAGACAGAAAGGGAGAAATCCCCCCGGGGTGGGGGATGGGCACACCACAATCTGTTCTCCTCCCAGGATCTTGGGCGCACACGCACACACCTGGCATGAGTTTAAGTTGCCGGGGCTGGGACTTAAACTGTGTCCGACTATGTGGGAGTCCAGCGATATAACCCTTACCCCATTTGCTGGTCCCATACATAAATAACTCCTTAAGAAAGAAAAGGAAAGAAAAGAAAGAAAGAAAGACACCTCACAAGAGTGGTAGTGCTGTTTCTTCCCCTAAAGAGAACCCTCCAAGTTCTTCCCACCCCGATCCAGACCTGCCCAAGGGAGAAGGCACGGGTGGGCTGTGGCCTCCTGACCTGGCTCCTGCTGCCCACGGCACCTGTTGCCTAGGGCTGGGCCACAGCCAGGGCCTCAACCCACAGGAATGCTGGGGCCGTGGGCTGTAAACAGTAATTATGGCTGGCAACATGGGGGGGCAGCGTGGAGGCTTGGGGAGCCCTGCTGAGTCCTGGACTGTGGGAGCAGGGGGCCGCGGGGCCTTCTCACTGACTCCTGGCTGACAGGCCACGTGCCCCAGACCTCGGAGTGAGGCAGCTTCAGGCCCACTGGCTCCCTGGCCCGCTCTGAGGCTCAGGTGCAGCTGGCTACACCTCTCTCGGTGCACCGGGGGCAGGGGAGGAGGCAGGGAGGGCGTTTACCGACAGCTAGCTCTGCTCACGACTGTCAGTGACGCTGCCAGGAAGGCATGGTGTCCCCATTCTACGGATAAGGACGCTGAGGCTCAGGTTGGGCTGGTGACTCAAGGTGGCAGCACACGGCACGTGGCTTGGCGAGTGGCTGGGAGTGACCTGAATCCTGGCACGCGGAGGTCAGAGCCAGCGGACAGCTACTGGGGAGTTCTAGCCAGGCCCTGAGTGCCCTGAGGGGCGGGCTCCCCTGCCCATGCCTCGACGCCTTCTGTGGGAGGGGAGCACAGCTGGCCCCGCACGGCCTTGTGAGAGGCGCGTTCCTGTGGCCCTGCATGCTGCCCCCGCGCTGTGTCACTCAGTGCTCGGGAGTGACCCGCAACTGACTGGCTAGCCAGGTGACCGCACTCCCGGTCAGTGCTGTGTCATCCTCCTCCTCAGGCAGGCACTGCACTGGGCCCCCACGTGCTCGGTGGAGACGGAACAGACCTGGCAGCGCGAGGGCCCTTGGCGGGGTCGGCAGTGACCCTGCTGCACATGTACTCCTGACCCAAGGGTGCCCAGGTCCCCAGACCCAGGCAACGACACCTCACAAGAGTGGTAGTACTGTTTCTTCCCCTAAAGAGAACCCTCCAAGTTCTTCCCACCCCGATCCAGACCTGCCCAAGGGAGAAGGCACGGGTGGGCTGTGGCCTCCTGACCTGGCTCCTGCTGCCCACGGCACCTGTTGCCTAGGGCTGGGCCACAGCCAGGGCCTCAACCCACAGGAATGCTGGGGCCGTGGGCTGTAAACAGTAATTATGGCTGGCAACATGGGGGGGCAGCGTGGAGGCTTGGGGAGCCCTGCTGAGTCCTGGACTGTGGGAGCAGGGGGCCGCGGGGCCTTCTCACTGACTCCTGGCTGACAGGCCACGTGCCCCAGACCTCGGAGTGAGGCAGCTTCAGGCCCACTGGCTCCCTGGCCCGCTCTGAGGCTCAGGTGCAGCTGGCTACACCTCTCTCGGTGCACCGGGGGCAGGGGAGGAGGCAGGGAGGGCGTTTACCGACAGCTAGCTCTGCTCACGACTGTCAGTGACGCTGCCAGGAAGGCATGGTGTCCCCATTCTACGGATAAGGACGCTGAGGCTCAGGTTGGGCTGGTGACTCAAGGTGGCAGCACACGGCACGTGGCTTGGCGAGTGGCTGGGAGTGACCTGAATCCTGGCACGCGGAGGTCAGAGCCAGCGGACAGCTACTGGGGAGTTCTAGCCAGGCCCTGAGTGCCCTGAGGGGCGGGCTCCCCTGCCCATGCCTCGACGCCTTCTGTGGGAGGGGAGCACAGCTGGCCCCGCACGGCCTTGTGAGAGGCGCGTTCCTGTGGCCCTGCATGCTGCCCCCGCGCTGTGTCACTCAGTGCTCGGGAGTGACCCGCAACTGACTGGCTAGCCAGGTGACCGCACTCCCGGTCAGTGCTGTGTCATCCTCCTCCTCAGGCAGGCACTGCACTGGGCCCCCACGTGCTCGGTGGAGACGGAACAGACCTGGCAGCGCGAGGGCCCTTGGCGGGGTCGGCAGTGACCCTGCTGCACATGTACTCCTGACCCAAGGGTGCCCAGGTCCCCAGACCCAGGCAACGCCCAAACCCCTGAGCGGGACACACCGGGGACCCTGAAGGCGGGCCAGAAGTCCTAGGCCTTGTCCCCAGGTTCACACCAGGGCCTGGCCTGGGGGCTTGGGCCTGGGGGCTGGCAGGGCTGCTGTCCCCAAGGGCTCCCATTCCCCATGGCACTTGGGCTTCTGGGACAGAGCGATGGCTCCTGTGCAGCCTCAGCTCTGCTGCCTGTTCAGCCCTTCACTGGACCCTGAGGACCCAGGGTGTGGGGGGGTCTCGTGCCGCCCGAGGGGTAGTGCCACACCAACTGCTGGGTGGCCCCGCCCGTCTCCTCCTGCCACCCCATGGGCTGACTCATCGCTCAGCCCCTGGGGTGGGGAGGGCTCGGTGCCCCAGAGCCTGCACCTATAAAGCCGGTCGGCCCAGTGCCCAGCATCTGCTCCACCACAGCTGCTGCTCACGATGCTGGGAGGCCTGGGGAGACTGGAGGCTGAGGGCGTGGCCCACCGCACCGAGAAGGCCACCGAGGAGGCAGGTGAGGACTGGGCTCCTTCCACCTGGGCTGGGGGGTACAGGGCAGACACGACTGGGCCCGGCAGGAGCTGACCCCTATCAAGTGTTGAGGACCCAGCAGGACAGGATGGAACTGGGGGTGCAGGGCTCAGGGGGGCAGTTCAGGGGAGAGCCACGAGGGTCCCATGACCCCCAGTAGACCTGCTCTGTGACCCGGGCTGCTCCTGGGGTCTGCAGCTGAAAGCCAGGGGTGAGGCCAGCCTGGAGGAGGCTCCTGGGCCAGGAGGAGAGCCCAGGTGCTGGAGAGGCAGCTGACGGCTTGAGTCTGCCTCTCTGGAAACAGGGAGGCCCGTCTGAGCCGAAGCATCTGTTCTGAATAGCCAAAGCAGAAGGAGGGAGATTGGTGTTAGTTTTTATTGTAACTGACAGAGTTAAAGATGTCTTCTTGAAGGGACCAGCAGTTAGCATAATGGCTATGTCGCTGGACTCCCATGTAGTTGACTGGGGTTCAGGTCCCGGACCCGGTGGCTTAAACTCACACTGAGTGCGTGTGTGTGCGTGCCCAAGATTCCGAGAGGAGAATGGAGGAGAAGGGGTTGTGGCATGGCCATCCCCCCTGGGGGGTGATTTCTGGCTTTCTGTCTCTCTGTCTCTCTCTGGCTGGCAAGCACAAGCGCCCTATAGCAAAAAAACCTCTTCCCCCAAAAAAGAAAAAATAGATGTCTTCTTGAAGAAACTCCCAGGTCTGTTCTGTTTAAGTCAAAAGGGCATTTTCGGCTTCTCTGAGCCCCTGAAACCCTGCCCGCGTGCGGAGGCCCTCCGTGGCCCGCAGGAGCCTGGCCAGCCCGCAGGGTCTGCAGGAGGGTCGGCCTTTCTTTGAGGACCCCCCAGCCACTCGCGGCCACCCTCTTTCATCTCTCGCCAGCCCTAGGTTGGGGTTATCCCCATTTTACAGATGGGGCAGCCGAGCGTGGAGGGTGGAGTCAGAGCTGGAACCGGTTCTTTGACTCCAAGGCCTTCAGGCCAGCGGGTTTCCACCCGAACCTCCACCGCCCACACCGCGCAACCCCAGGCGCAGGGAGAACCCTGGAGTCACCGTGGGGACGCGCTTCTGCCGGAGGAGGCTTTGGGAGGTGGTCGGGGCGGGACAGCAGTGCGTCCCGAGAAGCGTGGTGGCCTGGCCAGCCTTGGCTCCGTGTCCCCAGCTGGCGGGGGCGGGGGCTGCTTGACACTCTAGGCCCTGCCAGGGCGAGGCCATGGAGGGCCCCGTGCCCGGGGGAATTGCTCAGCTCATTCCCGGCAGCCAGGCCTCCCTGGACTCTGGAGGGCGCCAGTGGGGGGCCAGCAGCTGGGCCGGACCGTCCTGAGTCTCACGGAGTTATCTCGTTCAGTGCACGCCGTGGAGGGAGTGGTGAAGGACGTGATGGAGCACATCAAGGATGCTGGAGAGAAAGGTAGGGAGGGGGCGGGAGGGCCAGCCGGTGCCCAGGACGGCCCAGCCGGCCCTTGCCTCCCGGCTCAGCCCTCGGGGTGCCCCGTCCAGCTGGGCGGCCGTTGCCTTCGCTCACCCGAGGCCGCGCTCAGGCGGAGCAGCTCCGGCTTGGCCGTGCTGGCTGACGGGACCGGACCCCAGGGTGGGGGGGCTGCCGTGCTGGCTGACGGGACCGGCCCCGAGGCTGTGTGGCCTCGAACTCTGTATCTCTAGCCTCCACATGGTGCCGTGCACGGAAGGGGGACGAGCATGGGTACATGCCGCATTCCAGGCCGGACCGGGACGCGCATTGAGGCCTGGGTGACCCGATGGTTAGAGAGCCCCGTCCTAGCCCACGTGCTGTAATGAAACACCAGAACACGAGCAGCCCGGGACGGGGGAGACTGATTGCTCAGGGTTCTCCAGGCCGGCGGGCAAGGCCGAGGCTGGCAGGCCCCCTGCCTGGCCCGGCCCTCAGCTGTGGAAGGAGTGGCTGGCTCCCTGATCCTGTTCCTGTGGGCCCCACCCTCCTGACCTAATTACCGCCCAAGGACCCCACCAGTCAGCAGGCACCTTGGCACTGGGGACGAGGAGCACAAGAATGTGACCGTGGGCCGCACTAACACTAATGTTCGGGACCACAGACTCCTGGGGAGGGGCGGTCTGTTTAACAACAGCAGGAAACCAGCAGTCATAAGGAAACCCCAGGTAAACACGACAGCATAAAACGTCAACACTTTCCAAGGTGAAAAAGCAATGAGCCAGCCGGTGGTGTGACAAAGGAGGCTGGACTCCACATGGCTGACAGAGGTTCAAGTCTCACACCCGGAGGCTTGAAAACCATACCAGGCGTGTGGGCGTGTGTGCCCACCCTCCAGAGGAGAATGGAGGAGAGGGGACTGCAGTGTGGCCATCCCCCCGGGGGTACTTTCTCATTTTCTCTCACTCCCTGGTTGACACACATGTTCTATAGCAAAAAACAAACAAGCAAACCAAAAATAAATAAATAAATAAATAAATAAATAAAATAAAACAAGCACAAACACTAAGCCAAGGCAAAAGAAAAATCACAAACTGAGGAAAACTTATAAGAAAATTGGAAATTCAGTATAATAACCCAATATAAAGATGACCAAAAGTTAGAAACGTGAAGTTTTCAGAAAAACAGTGGAAGGAGCCATGTACCACGGGCAGGTGCTCAGTCTCTCTCGGAGCCTCAGAAACGCAATCAGTGGGCGGAGGGGGGGGGGATACACCCAAGTCTGAACCCATTCCCCGGGGGCTCTGCTCCAGGGCTGGTCCAGTACGACTGCCACCTCCTGGTCACTTGGTGACACTAGCCTGGTGGTGGCTCGCCCAGGCACTCTTTCTTTGTCTTCCCAACAGCCATCACCGATACCCTAAAGAAAGCCCAGGAGTCCGGAGACAAAATAGTGAAGGAAGCTGCCGAGAAGGTGACCAGCACTGTCGCAAACGCCGCCACCCACGCAGTGGAGGGCCTGGGCAACCTGGGCAAGCCTGCCGCCGGCCACCCTTCCCCAACGCAATAAAGCCATGACACGCATACAGCGAGCTGTTTCTTGTTTTTATTTTATTTTTATTTTTTATAAATAAAGTTTATTCACTTATAACTTCCGTGGAGAGAGAGAGAGAGACAGCTCCAGCGGGTGTGGGCAGAGACTCAGCTCAGCTTCGGCCAGCAGCCCCAGATCGTGGGCACGTGGTACCTGGTGCGCTCAGGGAGGCTTGGCGCTCAAGCCAGAACCTTCCCACATGGCTCAGCCTTGCAGAGAGGCACATCTTACGGCTGCCCCACTGTCCAGCCCGATTTCTTTCTATCTGGATGGAGACACCGTGCATGCCCTAGGAGGCCCCCTGGCGCTATGAGCACCTTGGGAGGCTCCAATGGGCTCCCGCGATGAGTCGAAGTTTGTCCCCACGCTAGGATCCCAGGCGGGAGCTGTTGAGGATGGTTAGTGTCTGCCTACAGTTTTCCAAAGACTGTCCTGGAAGCCCGGACAGCTCGCTGACGCCTCGCTGTTTCGAGGCCACCCCGAGGAGGGCCACGATGTGTCTCACCGGTTCTTTGAGCTCTCCTAGAGATGTCCCTGCAGGACTAGGGCAGGAACCAGGAACGGCCTAAGAGCTGAGCCGGTGGGCGCCGCCCACTGGACTGACGGCCTCAGCTCTGGAGGGGGCTCAGAGGAGTGCATCTGTGCGACAGTTTTCAGAGTGGGTCAGAGTCCACAGCTTCCTGGCCCTGGAAGCTACCACTGAATGTCCCCCCAGGCCGTCAGCCGGGTCGCCGCATGAGTGGAAGACAAGAATGCCTGCCCTCCTCCTCTCACAAGTGAGTCAGTGCACAGGTTAAACATGCTTAAGTGACACAATAACATCTGGGGAAAAGGGAGGTGGCATTTGTAAAGGTGTACGTCCCTGTTTATCTTGCTGGAAGTTACTTATTATCAGCAGGAGTTAGAAGAAAAGGTGTTTTTCCTTGGCTTTTCTTTTTATTGCTGGAGCGCACGTGTACTCCCCAGAAACAGAGAAGAAGCAGTCCCAGTGGGCGTGGTCACGCTGCTTCTCCATTCCTCCCTCCCATCAGGAAGCGCGTCTCAGCTGCTGGGACCGGGACTCGAACCATGGTTGGCCATGTGGGATTCAGCTCACTATGCACATTGCTTAATCACTGTACTACAGGGCCAGCCCCTTGGTTTATTGATATATTTAAAATTATTTTTAGATTCCTGATAGAGCCCCGTGTGTACGAGTGAGAGAGAGAGAGAGGAGAAAGGGAGGGGGAGGGAGAGAGCAGCACCCTCCCCAGATCTGGCCACACCCCGATCTCCTTCTTTCAGTCCTTCAGCTGGCTGAGACAGGGCAGGGATGCGAACCGTGGCAGCCACGTGGATCCCGGCACCACAGTGCTTATGCTGCCACTGCACCGTGCGGCTGGACTAGAGAGAAGGTTTTGATCAAAGAATGAGTTGGTCACTCTCCGTCTTTCTGGCTGTCTTCTAGAACTGGCTTGGCATGTTTCTGAACCTCTCAGGAATGTCCGATGTCTGGCTTGGCAGCGTTTGCCACTGTCCGGCTGGAGCTGGCCCTTCCGTCTGGTTTGGCCTCCGTGACTTTCAATCCAGCTCCGAAGGATGGGACACTGCCCGGCGGTACAAACCCAGCACCTCCCTGAGCCCACCCTCCTGGGACCTTCCCCCACGGAGTACAGCAGGCACTCGGAGCGCAGTCACCGCAGCATGTTCGCCACGGCGAGGGGGAAACGCCCTCGGCGCTCGCCTGGCTGGCAAGTCTGGCCCTGCTGACTGGGTTTGGCACACGGCTGGAGCTGCCACCTCGGACTTCCAGTGCCAGAGATCTTAGCTGGAAACGGGCCCCGTGCCTAGACGGCCTAGATGGCTGTGCACACTGCGTTGAAATGGGTACCTCACGGCGCTAGGGAGGAGGAGAACGCTCCTGCGCACACGGGAACATGTCCACGCCAGTCAGCAAGTGGCAGAAGAGACTCACAGAGGAATTCGTTTTTACAAAACAAACACGATTGTATAAAGGAAGGGCACTGCTAACCTGCATATAGCTAGCATGAAAGCAAGCAGTCATCCGTGTATCCGCGTGTGTGTGTGTGTGTGTGAGAGAGAGAGAGAGAGAGGGAGAGAGGGGAGAGAGAGAGAGAGAGAGGGAGGGAGATATGGGGAGACAGAGAGATGAGGCAGGGGAGAAAGCACTCCCCATGGGGTATGGTCAAGCTGCAATCCCTTCTCCCTCATCTCTCCACACTGTCGAGATCTGGGGCACGCACGCATGTGTGCCTGGGCATGTTTTTTTAAGCTGCCCGGCCCCAGGATTTGAACCACAGTTGGCCATGGGGCATCCAGCTCCCTTGACAACTAGACCATGGGGCCAGCCCTTCCTTTCCTTCCTTTTTTTTTTTTTTTTTTAATTTTCCACAGGGCGTGTGCACTTGCTGGAGAGAGACAGAGTTTGAGAGAGAAGTGAGAATACGCCCCCCAGGGGAGACAGTGATGCTGCAATCCCTTCTCCTTCATTCTCCTCTTGGGATTTTGGGCGTGTGCACACACTTGCTCGATGTGGCTTTTCAGGTGGCCCGGATCTGGGATTCGAACTACACAGTCATATGGGATCCAGACGCTTTAATCACCATGCCACCGGCTGGTCCTAGTCTTCGTTTCCAACATTACATATTTCTGTGACGTTTGATTTAAGACAAAACCAATGGAAATGTTTTTAAAAGGCGGTCCTCTATTTTACCAAAGATTGTTTCCCTGTGGGTTGCTATTCAAGGTGGCATCTGCAAACTTCACTACCACATGGTGACGAGATCAGCAGCAGGGCCTGTGGGAGGGCACAGCGTGTGGCATTGCCTGGCCCTCCAGAGTGGCCTGTGGGCGGCCCTGGTCCCTGTGAACAGGGCGCGGAGCAAGCACAGCCAGTGCAGTGGGTGGGCCACGCGCCAGGACGCATGGTGAGGGATGTGATAAACAGATAAACTGGTCCTTCCTCCCAGAGCACAGGAAAGCCCTGCCCACACCCCGGTGGCCTCCTAGCTGATCGTCTGGTGCCAGCACCTCCTCCTCTTCCTCTGTGTCCGGCGCAACGAGCGGCCGGAGGTCCATCTCAGACAAGTCTGAACGTGTTGGAAAAAAGCAATCGACAGGGAGGTCAGCCACAGTGGTGGGTAAGGACTTCCAGAAATTCTCTCCTCCAGAGAAGTGGCAAAGACAGTCAAAAACGTTGACAGAGCTCTGGAAACCTATGGAATCAGGGGACTTACTCAAATAAAACAAGCAATCTCCTTAGCAACAAGCAGCTCTGTGATGTTTTTAGCTCGGCCTCATCCTCTCCCCACTGGCCCGCCTGTCTTCAGTAAAACGAACAATTCTAGCAGAGAACAGCAGCCCGGCCTCTGGGAGGGCGGAGTAAGGCTGGAGGGCCTTCGAAGCCTTCCCTCAGAGCTGCAGTAAGAAATGTCTCTTGTTGGGGCATTTGGCAAATGCTATGTAGAGGCTGTCCTTTTTTTTTTTTTTTTCTTTTATTTTTTTGGAGAGGTTTTTCCTACAGGGCATATGTGCTCACCAGAGAGACAGAGACAAAAAGCGAGAAATCACGCCACAATCCCTTCTCCTCCATTCTCCTCTCAGGATCTTGGGCACGCGCCCACACACGCCTGACATGAGTTTAAGCCACAGGGTCCGGGACTCAAACCGTGGCCGACTACATGGGAGTATGGTGACATAGCCACTATGCCAACTGCTGGTCCCTAGAGGCTATCCTTTAAGCTGGTAGCTATAGGTGGTGGTGGGTAACAATTTGAGCAGACAATCAATTAACCAAAAAGCCTTAGAGAGAAAATGGGAACTCTAATATCCCTAGGGGCTTCAAAAATCATGTATTTCTTGGAAGTCTGGAAGGCCGCTTTCATGCCTAGGGCCGTGCATTGGCTCTGACTGAGCGGAGGCAAGGGGCCAGCGAAGCCGAGGCGAAGGCAGAGAGGTAAGTGTGTGCAGCATCAGAGGGTGAGCCCCGCCACCTGCGGACCCTTTGGCAAGAGTGGGAGCCTTACTGGGTCTGGGTATTTGAAGAAGTCTGTGTCTGATCTATAATTGACCACTAAGCTAACTGAGCATAATTTTATTTTTAAAATATTTATTTATTGTAATTCCATTTGTTATTATTTTAAAATTTGACCAGAGACAGAGAGAGAGAGAGAGAGAGAGAGAGAGAGAAAGGAAAAGCAAGAAAGCAAGATGCCAGGTTCGGGACTCGAACCGCAGTCAGACATGTGGGAATTTAGTGCCTTTAACCACCACGCCACCTGCCAGCCCCATGAGCATACATTTTAATGTTCACACACAACAAAGTAAACAGACTCCAGAATTAGTTCACAAAGGCCTTTCAACCCCAGCAATGACAAAAATCAGGAAGGAGGGCATGGAATCTGATTTTGGAGTTGCCATATTACATTTTTTAATATGTCCAGTTTCAACAAAAGATTGCAAGATATGCACAGAAAGAACTACGGCCACATTCATCCGGGGGAGAAACAGAAGCTGTTCCTGAGGAAGCCCGGATACAGGACGTAACAGACTTTAACCCACTACGATCACGTGCCTCCGGTTTGGCCGTCACCAGGCAGCATACACGGTGGTGGTCCCAGATCAGGATAGGCTCGACCCGCCGACGTGGGCCTGCAGTGACCTCCACTGTCTAGGTGTGCGTAGGTACACTCTGACGTGTGCCCAACAAGGGAGTCCCTAACGAGTTTCTCAGAACACAGCCTGCAGCGAAGCGGTGCATGACTGTATTTTATGCCTGTTCACAGGGTTCGAACATACGTCTAAAGAATTTTACAAGTGTGAAATTGATACCCAGTAGAGAATACTAAGAGAGAGACAGCAGTGATAAAAAAGAACCAGACAGAAAGTCTAGAGTTGAAAATACAATGGAAATAAGTGTCAGGGGCTCAACAGCAGATCTGAGCAGACACGTGCGGCTCTGACACCCAGTACCTCAGATGCGAC